TGGCTGCCATGTCTGTTGAGAATATGATCAACGGGAGGACCGCCAACAAGGTTGCACTTGGAGAGAAGAGAAAGTTGGAAGGAACTTCAGGTTCTAATGAGAAAAGAAAATTCTCGAAGCCTGGAGGAAGAGGAAGAGATGAAGCAAGGTGGTGCGATAAGTGCAAGAAGAAGCACTCGGGAAAAATATGGCGTGGAGGTGACATGTTTCAAGTGTGGAAAGCATGGGCACTACGCTGATGAATGTATATTCAACAAAAAGGTGTGTTACGAATGTAACGAAGAGGGGCACTTCAAGCAAGACTGCCCAAGGAAAAATCAAGCAGCAAGGCTAGAGGCACCGCCAAAGCTAAAGGCAAGAGCATTTCAAATGATCCTTGATGAAAACAAATGGCAATGCAAGGAATCAGGAATGAGGAATTTATATCCAAAGATCAAGTTATGAAGAAGCAGTGTGAAAAGTAACTTATGGTATAGCCTATTAGAGGCATAGTATAGGGTGGACTTGAACTTTTGTGTAATAGTTTCAAGAAAGTAATATAAACCCTAGTTTTATTATCTGGTGTGTTGAATGATTGTATGATTTTTTTGTATGATGACTTGGTCAACTGCGAGACAATACTTGGGATGAGTATGAGTAGGTGTGAAAGGTAGTAGATGCATATACTACCAGAAGCATAGGACTCGCACTTGGATCAGGGAAAGTCACAAGGTTACCAAGAAGCTAGTAATTGATTCTGTTTTGTTCAAATGTGTCATTACCTTTGTTTCGGTAGTGACTAGTAAGATGATTGTTATTCCGACCCTAGTGGTCATATTCAAATTGAGTCTGACTACGGTGGGTATGATACGTGGTTCAGAGAACCAAGTTCGAAGTAACATCTGACGTAAGTCAGAAGATTGAAGCTAATGCGATCATTGGTATCGCACTCGTTGTTCATAAAGTTTGTAGCTAGAAATGCTACATGCTGAAATGTGATTATATCACATTAGAATATGAAGGAAGGTATATTCCATTCTGGAATTTAAGTTTAAAAAGACCGAGTCTAAGCGTCGCATCGTGCGATGAGAGGTCAGTAGAGTATGACCCATCGGTCTGTTACAATAGATAAAGGAAAGTGTTTATCCTGAGAAGAAGAAGGAGTCCACAATAAGGACTTATTTTGTAACTTGGAGGTTACGATTGAGAGTACAACATAGTACGAAAAGCAGATGCAAGATTGGGCATCGTCTGCGGTCAAGAAAGCCACAGAGATAAATACTCTTTCGAGGAAACATAGAAGTTACGGTTATTACCTAGGATGAATAAATAACGTGTGAAATCATTATGCAAGTCCTGTTTCGTTGATGATTCCGGGACGTAATCATCCTAAGCAGGAGATAATTGTAACGCCCGTAGATCCGGACTAGTCAATTTAAAGACGATAAGCATCAAAAATGACTTTTTGATGGAAGATTATTTAGAAGGATTAATCTTAACCAAATTATTGTATATATCACAATGTTTCTGTGCATATAAAGAACGCCAAAATCCAAGTTATAACCTATCGAAGTTTCGCGACAAAACCGGCATGACGCTGAATGATGTAAAACGTGAATTTACGTTAGAGTGATATTTAGCCTTAGCAATCTAAACAAAAGTCATAGAGTTCCTTAAACCATGAGCGTGCATAAAAAGAACGTCCAAATCTGACTTCGTATGAGGAAGTTATGATTTTTCTGTGTTTCAACTTAGCGGTATGCAGCCCGAATACTCGATTTGAGATCGAGCGGTTTTTAGCCGAAACAATCTAAACGAGAATCGAATATCTCGTTAATAGTAGTGAAACGATAAAAAGATAGGCGAAAATGGACATTGTATGAAGAAGTTATGAATTTATAACGGAGTTTCTTGTCCCGGCCTACTAAAAATAAATAATAAAAATAAATTCAAAATTAGCCAACGGAGTCTAAACAAAAGTTGCAGATCGTAGTCTCACCTACGCGGGGATATAAAGAACGTCGAAAACAGAGCTCGTATGAGGAAGATATTAATTTTTAAAGTTTATTAAATAATTAAAGTATTTAATTTAAATAAAAATTCGGATATTATTATTATTATTATTATTATTATTATTATTATTATTATTAGACAAAATTACACGATTGGTCCCTGTGGTTTACCAGATTTAACACATTAAGGACAACGATGGAAACCGAAATCACTCTTTTACTCCTAATCCGATTTTTTTTATTAATTTATATTTCTCTTTTTTGTTTTAAATTAATGTTTTATTTATTAGAAAATACTCATCCAATACCATAAAGCCACCCACCAGCTGCCATCACCACCACCACCACCACCGTCAAAATTACATAAATGGTCCATATGGTTTACCCATCGTCACAAATTCAGTCTCTACTACCTTAAAAGACCAAATTAACCTCACATTAACGGACAAAAACCAATGGTCTATATTTTCCGGATTGGTTTTCCGGCCACTGCCATACATGTCAATAAAGTTCAATTTGTGAGACTATTTCTTTATTTTCCTCATTTATTGCAAGAAATAATGATTTAGATTTTTTTACTTATGTAATTAGATGACATTGTTTATCTTACTTTACTAGATTATCTCAATGCAATTCAACATGGTACTTTACTTTACAAAGCAATACCTTCCGACCCCGGCAACGCCAGGAAATCTTTTCTAGTTAAATATTATAAATGTCCTGCAATTCATTTAAACAGGCATATAAATTTTTTATATCATAACAACACATCTCCTCCGTAATATAATCTGAACCTCAAATAAACCTATAATACACTTGAAAACTGCCATGATTTATTTAAGCATCAACAACACATCTCCTCCATTAACTAGCATTAGAACCAGTTCAAACAACAAGTAATTAGAGCATCAGACTTTGAGAGCAATCCTTAAAATAACATCCAACTGTCAAACTTATGAAAGAAATGATATTGAATTCTCCAAGAGCAGCAATCAGAATAAACTATACCACCATGACCGAAAAAACATCCCAAAATTTAAACTTGCATCGAAAATACCACAGATGCTAGTATCTCCCAAAACAGTATCAAGCCACAAAAATACCAACACCATAAAGCCAATTATTGAATACATATTTGATTTTTTGTTCTGATTGCTCCTTCATCTCGCCGACTTCAACATTCGACCCCCCTCATTATCTCTATATGTGTTGAATGCTCAATTCCAGATCGTCACAGTCGAATTTCAGAGTTCCTCGGCACCAACTTAATGGGAATTTACACAGTCCCAAATAACAAAACCCCCCGATCAATTCCTAATTTCGGGGGTGTTTGGCTTATAGCTTTTCACAGCCTAAAAGTAATTTTTGGAAAAGTTATAAAAAGTCAAGATTTCCTGACTTTTCCAAAAAGTTCATTTTTCTTATGTAAAAACTTCAAAACTAGTTTTGCCAAACATCTTTTGCTTTTTTTTTCTTTTCCAAAAAGGACTTTTGGCTGTGAAAAGCTAAGCCAAACACCTCCAAGATCAAGACACCACATGCATAGAGCTACGAACAGAATTTACAAATAAGAGTGAATGTAGAGATGTAGTGTACAACCAAGATGATATACGGAAATATAAGATACCTAGCCTAATCTTTAATTTGGGATTTAGCTTGGGAAGGGTATTTTGGGAAATTCAATAAAATTCTAAAGTTTAAATAAGTTTTTTAATATTAATTTGATATAATTCAAATTAAAATTTAAGTTTGGATATAAATATAAATTTTATAATTCGATAAGGATTTAGAAGTGATTTTGTTTTTTATAAGGATATAGAAATAATATTTAAAGTTTAAAAAGGTATGAATGAAATTTTCCCAAGAAAAATGGAAGAATATAAAAATAATTTAATTTTATACTTTGCACAGGAGTTTAAGCGAAGTGCAGGCCGATGCAACAGAGATGGAATGATATTTTATGGAACAAATTTATCCCAATGCTACGGCTTGAATTCACTGCTAATCAACCCAAGCTCAATGAGGCGGATGTTATGCCCCTTACCAATCAGGTGCATTATCATATTAATACCCTTGCTTTCACTCTTTGTGAAATTTCCACAAACATTTGGAGAGTCATCAAAAAGCATACCCCCGATAAACATTTTTCAATTAACTCTATTATTTTTTTTATTGTATCAATGTGTTTAAAGTTATATTTTCATAAAAAAAAAATGAGACATGTGCTGAACTGGGTTCTCCAACACGTCCCCATCCCTGATTTTTGCCCATACGGGTATCCTGTCTCCATCCCCGGGACTCGGTTTGGTGGGGAATACCAGACTTCTATCAGGGTAGGTTAATTTGTTCCCTAGGAGGTTGGGGTAAATTTCGATCTCTATTTTGGACTTGTTAATTGATTTTTTATTTTGAACTTTTTGTTAGATTTTTTATTTAGAAAAACTATTAGTTTTCTCAAAATTTTGAAATTGTTAATTGATTATCGGACTTGTTCGTAAATTCCAGAATTCTTTTTTGTTTGGAATGCATAACGGAATCCAGAATGTTGGTCTAAAATGTACTTTTTTTCAAATATATATATATATATATATATATATATATATATATATATATATATATATATATATATATATATATATATATATTTCTTAAGATTTGGCCATTTCTCAACAAAAAAGTAAAATTGTTATATTTTCATTAATATTAACTTAAAATGTGATTATTAGGTAATTATCCCTGATGATGATGTTCCAATTGAGCAACCAAATAATCTCAAAATACCCCTCCATGTCATAAAAACTTGTACCCACGACTTCAACGAAAGGAATTTCATCGGTAAGGGTGGTTACGGAAGGGTCTATAAGGGAACCCTTACATGGGCAGATCATATAAACCAACTAGTAGCTGTAAAGCGGCTAGATGTCACCAGATTTCAAGGTAACAAAGAGTTCCAAACAGAGGTCACGTTGCTTTCTAAGCATAAACACAAAAACATTATAACACTTATAGGTTTTTGTAATGATAACAAGGAGATGATTCTTGTTTACGAATACGCAACGAATGGAAGCCTTGATGCATATTTACATGACACTAGCATGTTCGGTGGACTATCATGGCCACAACTCTTCAAAATATGTATGGGTGTTGTTTCTGCATTGGACTATCTTCATAACCACGTGGCTGAAAAACACAGAATTATACATCGCGATGTAAAAAGTGCAAATATTTTGTTGGATGAGAATTGGAATGCAAAACTTTCTGATTTTGGTTTGGCCAGAATAGGTTTAGCAAATCAACGTAATACCTTCGTGATCACTAACCTTGCTGGAACGTATGGTTATACTGACCCACAATATGAAAGAACAGGTTTTTTAACAAAAGAGTCGGATGTTTATTCGTTGGGTGTGGTTTTGTTTGAAGTTTTGTGTGGAAGGCTAGCCTATGTTTCCGGTTACCATGATGAGCGGCGTTTCTTACATCATTTGGCTCGAACTTGCTACAAAAATGGAGAGCTAGATAAGATTATTGATCAAAGAATTAAGAAAGATATCAAACCAAGAACATTAAGCAAGTTCTCAACTATTGCATATAGATGCTTGCATAAAAATCGGGAAGAACGACCTACAATTGCTGACATTGCATCCCAACTTACGGAAGCCTGGAAAATCCAAGTAAGTTTGAATACTGTTTTTATTCAAGTACTTTAATAGGGACATTTTTTATGGGAAAATAAGGATGTCTATATAATAGTACATGAGTTGCTAACCCAATATTTGTTTGTCATCACCAGTTTACAAGATGATGGAAGTGAAACCTTCTTGATCAGTTGATTCACAAAAAAAAGAATCATTGGTTAATCTTTATTAAACGTAGGGGACAAGGACAAATAAAATCTAAACCAAAAGTTCGGTTCAATTGTTGTATAGAGATATAGTGAGACAACACAACACCATTCGTTGGTCTTCTACAAGGAGGAAAAAGGGTTGAAAGATTAACAAATATTTGTCTCTTTCTATATTTAATATGTTCCTACAATATTTGTCTCTTTCTATATTTAATATGTTCCTACATGAATGTACTATAAGTTTTGTTCTATGAACTTCATTAAAACCACAATGCTCAAAATAATGGTTCACTAGGTTACAACCCGTGAAAAGATTTATAAAATTTTATTATATTGTGTTATAATAACCTGTGTACTACATGGGTTTGCAAACTAAAAAGAAAAATTAAATAAAAGAACGAGTAACATAAAAATTTCTAATATGATATTTTCGAATTCAGTCTTACTAGATGAGGAGAAACAAAATGGATTTTATCAATTGAAAAGCATATCTTCCTTGATTAAACCAACGTTTATTTTCATAAAGATCCTTTGAAAATTTAGTGATTTGTGATTAATAACTTCCTTGCATTTTTGGCTATCTTTTAGATCTCATATAATGGACTAAAAAATTTGTGAGTTAAGATAGATCATTGATAAATATTATTCTCTTATAAATAAAGTATAATTTTAAGGAAAAACAATGGATCTACCCTGTTGATGAGATTTTCGTTTTCCAAACATTACTCTACACTTTGTTATCAGTTTCAATGTCTTTAGCATTTTGTCTCTAGGTTTATAGTTATAATCAGATAACAAATTTAACGATTCATACATTAAGGGTGGAGTTAAAATCTCCACAAAGAACTGCGGGAGCATTATCCCAAAGTTTTAATGTATCATTAGCTCTTTAACTCAAGAAGAACCCTAAGTTGGTGAAAAAAAAGAATTTTTGATATTTGAATATTTCCCATTAAGAAAATAAGTTATGTCTTAATACTAATACAAAGAATTGGAATTAAACCTTACCTCGATCTTCTATTTCTAAAACACTCCATTGCACAATTTGTAGAAACCCATCAAAATCATACCCTGTGTTTGAGAATTAGGGATCCGGTCAAGTTTTAAAAAACTTACATCATCACCATCACCAGTGATTGATTGTCATGAAACATGAAGGCTATCAATTTATTTCTTCTTTGGAGGAGGATAACCTTTTGATTTTGAGGAAGCGATGGACATGGTTCGCCATGGATAGAATATAAGATTAACTCTGGTAATAAATTGAAAATTTATAAAGTGAAAAATACAGAAACAAATCAAAATAAAATTGAAAAAATAAAATCGGACAATTAACCCGCAAGAATAATCATCGTGGGGCAAGTTTAGTGCTAAATCATTTCCATTAATAGTTGCAATCGTTATTGGTCGAAGAGGTGAAATTGTAATCATGTAAAAACTATGATTTCTCCTTATCAACCGAAGAAATCTTTTTAAACGAAAAGAGGGGCATTTTTTGTATTTAAGTTTATGTTAGGGATGAACATGGGTCGGTTTGGATCGGTTTTTGGTTAAAACTAAACCAAACCGTAGAAAGTCGGTTTTTCGGTTTTTATACCCATATAGGTTCGGTTTTTGCATCGGTCGGTTTTTCGGTTTTCCGGGTTGGGTTTATGGGTTTTCGGTTTTAAATCGTGGGTTTATGAGCTCCTATTTTTTCTCTCTAGTTTTTGGGTTCAAACCTAGTGAAAATATGTTTCGATAAATAGTATTGTATCTACTTTAAGTATACTAAAATTAAGAGTACGAATTCTAGTATTATAAAAACATAAAAGTGTTCAAAAGATCAAAGATTAAAAACATCAACAGTTTGATGAAACTAAACATAAATTATTAAAGAGATAAAGTTTAAAGTCTAAAACTAAAAGTTTAAATCATAATATAAATAACATATATGTGGGTCGATTCGGTTTTTATGGGCGGTTTTATACGTCAAAACCAAACCAAACCGTTATTTTTAGGTTTTTGTAAAATTGAAATCCAAACCGCCGGTTATTGCTTTGGTTTCGGTTTTTCGGTTTCAGTTATGTCGTTTTTTTTTCGGTTTTTCGGTTTTCGGTTCGGTTTTTGCTCATCCCTATTTTGTGTGAAAGGCGACTGAGAAATTACCACGTAGGACATAAGGGATCTTTTTATTAGATAGAGAGATTGTTGCTTCTTTACAAGTTAGTTCTCCTCCATTAACTTGATTTATTGGATTTCATAATATCTTATTTTTCTAAGTTATCTTGTAGGTCTATCTTACACATATTTAGTAGAGTTTGTAATGGTATTGTGGACAAAACTGCATATTTAGTCATTGTGGTTTGTAAAAACCTTTGGATAGAGTCCAAAAAGTTTTAAACTTGCATGGAATGTCCAAAATCAAGAATTTTTTGTGGTTTTTGACCAAAAATTAAGAAATTTTCGTGGTTTTGGTCCTTGGAAAACCTGAAATGACGGTTTGCCCTTTTAATTTTTTTTTATATTTCTTTTAATAATTTATTAATTAAAAATAAAAATAAAAAATGGGCCCACCCACCCCAGCCGTACCCTCATACCTCTCCCCTGCCTCATCTCTCTCTCTCTCTCTCTCTCTCTCTCTCTCTCCTAACTCCCTCTTGCTCTCTTTATCATCTTTGTGTCGTCTTCTTCATTTCATATGCAAGAAAAACTCAATAGATGAGCATGTAAAAAGTCAAGAACATACAACATTTTGATCAATTCTTCTTCTTCCTAACGCCATTACAAATTAAGCCTCGATGGAATCGCATCTCACTGTCGAGGAATTGATTCGTTCGGCGTGGCTACAACTTGGTTCAACACACACTTACATACACACACAATCAAAGATCTGGGTTTAGCTTTATAAACCCGAAGAAACTTGGTGGTTGTGTCGTTCCGATCTGGTAGGGGTTGAAGCATTGATTTCATCCACATCGATAATTCAAAACCACCTATCAATGAAGATTCCTTCGATTGATCCTTCACAAGGTCTGCGATTGTGAATGGAAACTCCATCTCCACCATCTCTCCGTCAATAACCCCAATGCAGCCACCATTGACCCTTTCTCAGCCTCCTCTATGACGCTGAAATACAGTGAAAACTTAGCTGAGAAACCCAGACGATAAAACACGAAACTAGTGTGTATCTGTATGAAATTTGAGCTTCTAATTGAAATTTGAAACTGGGTTTTGTATATAATCACAAATCTGGAAAAAAAGCCATAAACTAGTGTTTGTGTGTGAAATATGTTTGTGGGGTACGAAGAGAAAGGGAAGGGTGGTCCATAAGATAAACTGGAGGATGAGATATGCTGCTGAATGTTCTAGCCTTCTGGGTTTCATTGCTTGTGTTTGTACATGTGTGTGTGTGTGAGAGAGAGAGAGAGAGAAAGAAAGTTTTACCCATGTTTTTTATTATTTTGAAAATGTTAATAAAATGTAAAAAAAATTGTAAAAACAAATAAATAAGGGTATAATTGTCTTTTCTAGTTTTTAGGACCAAAACCAAAGGAAATTCTTGATTTTGGACCATCCATGCAAGTTGAAAACTTTTTGGACCATATCCAAAGTTTTTTGAATACCACAATGACCAATTTTGTATTTTTGTCTGGTATTGTGGGTCTATTTATTTCTCTTGGTTTGTATGTTTTTATTGCTAAGAATCTACACAAAAAACTTAGAAAAATAAAAGATACTATGAAACCCAATAAAATGTGCCTAATTATACCCTAAATAGTGAATATATATATATATATATATATATATATATATATATATATATATATATATATATATATATATATATAAAAGTTCACAATCATTTGAGACCATTCTAATTTTGTGAGACCGTGAGACCAAATCTAAAAATAATTTTAAAATGAAAAATAAATGGAAAAATCCAAAAATTCTTTTTTTAAGTATTATTTTCGAAACTTGAATTAACTAAAAAAAATCTCGTTTTTTTGAAAAATACGTGAAATATTCTAATAGAATACTACACTGATACATTCTATAAAATAATTTGAAAATGCAAAATAAATGGAAAAATCTAAAAATTCTTTTTTTAAATATTATTTTCGGAATTTGAATTAACTAAAAAAATAAAAAAATAAAAAAAATCCAATTTTTTTTGAAAAATACGTGAAATATTCTAATAGAATATTACACTGTACATATTTTAAAAAATAATTTTAAAATGCAAAATAAATGGAAAAATCTTACAATTCTTTTTTTAAATATTATTTTTGGAACTTGATATAACTAAAAAAAATAAAAAATAAAATCCTGCTTTTTTTTTTTGAAAAATATATGAAATATTCTAATAGAATATTACACTGTACATATTCTAAAAAATAATTTTAAAATGTAAAAAAATGGAAAAATAAAAAAAATTTAAATATTATTTTCGAAATTTGAATTAACTAAAAAAAATTAAAAAAAAAAAAGAAATGCATCTCACGGTCTCACAAAATATAGGTGGTCTCATATATATATATATATATATATATATATATATATATATATATATATATATATATATATATATATATATATATATATATATATATATATATATATATATAAAGGTTTAAATGAGAACAAAAAAAGATTAAGAACCTAAGAACCAACTAATTAAGGGAAATTTTTGTCAAAAAACGGAATGACATAAGCTGTAATTAAGAACCACCTCCTCTTCCTCTGTCACAACCTCCGATCACCTGCAAAAACACCTACATTCTTCGTCGGAACTTCAGATCTCGACCCGCCTTTCCGTCGCCGCTGAAGACGCTAACAACCACCAGCAACGTCGACCTCCTCTGATGTCGAACCACCACCTCAACGTCCCAGATCAGTGCATTTTTGTGCTTCGTGCTCATGATTCTAGGTCTGAGTTCTTCAGATCTGGTTTTCTCTTCTTCTTGTCTAGATCTGGAACTAATTTTTTCTGATCGAGTTTCGTCTTCTTCTTTTCTACATCTAAATCTACGAAATTTGTTTGTTGTTTTCATCTCTTGATCTAGATCCATATGGTGAACAACCACATCTTTCTATCGCGTGTGGTGGCATGTTGACAGATTCGTGATTTTGACGCCTTTTTTGGCGCTTCTTGTTCAGATTTGGTTAAATATGAGAGTCTGATGGTTTTTTCTTGTTTCTCATGGTGTTCATAGTTTAGATATGTCCAGATCTGGTTAGATCTAA